AAAGCGTTGAGAAAAGGTTTTTTAAGCTTAAGATTCTAAGGATGACAAACCTTTGTCGAAACGTTGTACATTTGCTGTCATGTTAAGCTTATATTAAAGTTTTTCTTCATTACCCATTTAAGCCGTCTCCAGCCATTATTACAACAACAATGATACTGATGATGACAAAACCTTGTCGAAACGTTGTACATTTGCTGTCATGTTAAGCTTATATTAAAGTTTTTCTTCATTACCCATTTAAGCCGTCTCCAGCCATTATTACACTTCTATATAGTGGTGCGAATGGTTAAAACAGGTGACCCCTCTAGGCGGTCTTCGGCCCTCTTTCGGGGAACAACTGCAGAAGCAATTCTCACTATGATTATTTGCTTAATTCGTCGTGTTTTTTTTATCTAACGAAAAGTTAATGTGTAGCTGTTTTATAAACCATATGTAAATAGATTTTATCTCATATTTACATTTTCTTACTGGCAGAGTAGCATATAAGGGGATCTTTGCAACCTAACGGTTAGGATAAATTTGTATTGGATCCACAGAAGAAGAAAACGCCAATAAACTGCATAGCGCCATCTGTTGAATAATAAAGAATTCATAATAGAATTTCGAAATAAAACATCCTACGTTAGATTATATGATAAAACTCGTTAAAAGATGAAAAATGTTTTCAACATTCCACGTTTCTTATTATAACAAATTAAATTTAATCTATTTAGATTACGTCATATAATTTTTTTTCATCATCATTCCTATTGTGCTTAATTTTTTAAAGTTATTTTTGTATAGAACAAACACTGATAGAAACGAACTGGAATCCGCGAAGAACAGAAGAAAATTCTGGATAGTGTGCTTATTGTTTATATTCATATAAAATCTCGATTTTAAATTTTCAACTTTGACATAACTACTAACCATTTTAACGTTTTCTAATTGAACATTAAGTATACGACAATCTAATGGACTCGATATTTGTGGACTGATAATCAATTATGAAGAAACAGTGTGTTTGTGAAACTAATCCTTCACTGTTTTTGTTATAAGTATTTCGACATTAAGATACTTTGGAGATTTTAAGTTACATTACACTGGAATTATAGATTTTTTCACAATTCCATAAGTAGCTTTAGTGACACACGATACTCTTGTGTGTCTGTACGCATCTTGCAGTACCATACACACAGACATCTTTATATATAGCGCCTAGGGCCTACTAGCCAATCAAAATCCAAGCAACACGATAATACGTACTTGTTTGTGCGTCGTCCCTGTGATGCATCTAGCTGGCCGGTAGTGGCGCCAGAGCCTTTGTCGCGTCATCGTAATTCTTCGAGTTACGTACCAGTTCAGTGTGACATCCTGTACCCTTCCTTGCGGCAAAACAGCTATCTTAGGATGAACAGGTATGGCTTAGAGTCACGTGCACTTTTTCTTGTCTAGCTGATAAACCCGTCTTCATCTATGATGGCTTTCCGTCAGTAGGTAAAATAAGCTTAGTAACGTAGCCTGTTCGCTATCAACCCTGGCTCTATTACAACAGAACGTGTTGTTTACTGTAAGACCTGCAGCTGCTCACTTCTGGCGGAGTTTAGGGATAGCACATGTTCTCTTAACTACAGTATAGCTAGGGAACTTGCAGATTTAACGACAAAGAAAGCGTTTCAGAATATATGTTGGCACATGCGACATGTTGTTGCAATGATCAGAAAAGAGAGTGGGTTGGTGAAGAACTGTGTAAGGAAAAATAGCGTCGACAAAACTAATCATAGGCATAGTGTAACATGGTGTTCGTGTGTCGCCTACAGTTATTTGCTTCAGATCGCTAGCCAGAAAGATGTGCGTTTGATCCCCATTTTGTTTTTTAGATTGCTTTATTTATTCTGTTGGCACGGGCGCTTATTTGTCGGATGTAATGTAACACTACACTGAGCGTAGCGAATAGTATATTTAATGTACCAGCTGAGCATAGGACAAAAAAATTATGTTTTATTTCCTGTCGCTAGACTCTTGATAATATTATGAACTATAAGTACCTTGAATCTCCTGTAGAGTTGCAGATCTTTCTCTTGTTCTTGTCTTTGTATCGGTATGCTTTCATCTTCTCTCCAAAGGTACTAAAAACTAAAACGATACTAAATATACTTGTTAAGGAGAAAGGGCGGGGAATCTTACACGGAAACAAGTGCTTAACTTTTCACTGGGATAAATGACCTAAACTTCTCAATTGAAAAATGATACCAAACCATGCAACTAAATGTGAGTGGAATCAGTAAGTATTTGATTCATGTCATTACACACACTTGGATTTAAAAGACAGTTCTCGACTGCTCGAGACATTTTTTCTCTAATTGTTAACTAAGTTATTAAGAGTTTAGCATATAGCTTGTTTGAAATGATCGAGATTATTTATGAAACAAAAAAAAAGTGAAAAAAAAACAAAACCCAACTACAACAATGTATCCAACCTGACAGAACTACTACTAATATTACAAACTTGTTATATGTTCCATAGTTGATATTACCATTGTTGGTGCTACTACTGTACCGAGATAAACTGACATTTTACAAAGAGAAATATATATAGTTTACAAAGTTTTGAATGGGATGACACCCACTACAGGTAAAAAATTATAATACATTTTCATAAGATATTTCTAGTAAAAAAAATAAGACTATTTTTAGTTAGTGTGGTATTCGACTGACTGACATCCGCTAAGGTTATGGTAAATACTTAAAAAAACAGTCATGAAAGTTCAACGGATATTCAACAGATGTATATCCCTTACAATTACGGTGAACAACTAAAACGAATCTAGAAATAAAAGACCATATGATACCAAATGTAACTTCTTTTGTTTTTTGTATTTGTGTGTGCTTATTGGACTTTCAAAGTTACTCCTTTTAACTTCTTAAAGATCGGCCCGGCATGGCCAGGTGGTTAGGGCGCTCGACTTGCAACCTGAGGGTCGCGCATTCAAATCTCCATCACACCAAACATGCTCGCCCTTTCAGCCGTGGGGGCGTTATATTGTGACGGTCAATCCCACTATTCGTTGGTAAAAGAGTAGCCCAAGAGTTGGCGGTGGGTGGTGAAGACTAGCTGCCTTCCATCTAATCTTACACTGCTAAATTTGGGACGGCTAGCGCAGATAGCCTCGTGTAGTTGTGCGCGAAATTCAAAACAAACAAATAATCTTAAGGATCGTTCCACTGAAACACAAAGTGTACAGCTATAGAGAAACACTTTCGAATAAGCTGTAAAGTAAAACGTTGGGTATCCATATAATCCAAAACAACAACAAAATTCGGTGTTAAGTTTAGGTTATTTCTAGAAATAATAAGTCTTTTATATTTCAATATGCATTACAGAAATTAAATAATTAAGACGAGTGGAATATCAGTTGAATTGCAACGATAACTTAAAGCCTCTACAATTACAC